AACAGGGAAAACCAAGAGACACTGGCAGAAGTGGTGCCTTTATCCAATCTAACACGCTAAAATCGATGTGGTCATACAGATTTCGGTATCCTCAGTGCTCATATTTAGTCAAAGTTTGTTCCCACATCAGCAGACTCATCTCAACAGTTTCTCCCACAGGGAGAGAATTTGGGGATGAAGTAACCACCTCTGATGACACAGGCTTACACAAAAAATTGAGTCAAACTTACTAAAAATGAAAGAGTTAAGAGGATAAGGCTATGCTGCAGTGAATCAACCATCAGTTTTCTGTGTGATCTTAAGTAATTCATTGTGCCTCATTCCATCTCCAAGAACATGAGAATGAACAAATACTGGAAGCTACTCAGATATCAGAAGGGGTCAGACAGCTACAAACTCAAAACAGCATTTGAGATATCTATCAAAAGATTTTGAAGCAGCAAGGTCAACTACCTAATTTCCATCTAAACCCACACTGGAAACACCTTGTTCCTAGAAATATGTGGCCAAAACCACTTGAAGTTAAACTTGTGTCTGCTGGAATACATGCCACTCTTTCTGTGGTTGCCTTTTCTTTTAGAGACTTGGGTTTTGCTTTAAAAAACATCAGAAAACAAGAACAACCAACACACCCACTTTGTCAAGTTTATAAAAACAAAAATTCTCAAAAATTATAACTCAATGACTGACACCTAAAGGCTGTTACAAGAACATTATTTTTAACAAGTAGGACTGGCAGCTTTTAAAAGCTAGTGTTATCACAGCAACATTCCAGTTTAAAAAGTGGAGCACAAAAAGAGACGTGTCTGACATTCACAGAAATATGCAGGAAGTAAAGGGTACAGAGAAAATAAAAAAGCCAAAAAAAAAAAAAATCTAATAGCTGAAATTGAAATCTACTAACAGGAAATGCGGATAAAACCACAAGATCAGTGAAGTGAGAATTGGCAAGCGATTCCTCTCAGGGAATCAAGTGACTGATTGATCACAGGTATTTTAATCTACTCTATTTTAGTTACAATTCAATCAAATGTATGATTCAAAGCGGAAAAGCAAGCATCTCGAAGGAAGCAATCTATATGAGCATAATAGATGAGGATAATTTTTATAAAAAATAAATCAAGGTAGAGGTGCCTGTGGGCTTGATTTAATTGCAGAGGGAGAAGAGTGACCGTTTTCTGGAAGAGAACGTTGATGTGCTTGCAAGAAGAACTCATGTTTTTAAAATTATCATGTGCATCATGAAAAGGGCAGCAGCTGCACAGCAGTAACTTGACATGCAAATTCCTGCCTTTATTCAGTCCACGTATGCACATGCTCGTAAGAGATTTAAGCAGAAAAATATTCCTTTTGCATCATCATATGTAGAAGGGATATAGTTGTTTACTCTGAAAAGAAGCTTCTTAATACCAAGAAAAATGTGCTATTTCACAAGGAAGCATCAAAACATTTAGATTTTCAATGCTGTTGTAACCTAATGAATAGAAGTGCACTGATGGGTGTGAGCTGACCATAAGCTGACCAACGGACAGGTTGAGAGCATAATTTGTGAAAAGCCATGATATACACAAATGCAGGAAGGAGCAGCTAGTTTAAATATTTTATAGTAAAGAGAGAAGTCCAGGCAAATGATTTTCCTCACAGAAATAAGAATAATTTAGGTTAGATATGGCTCATAACATATCAGCTACCCATTTGTTTATCCACTTTCAGCACTTAAAACTGGCTATGGCAACAAAAGATGCTCACATCCCCCTGGGCAGGTTTGTCCTGGTAGTTCATTACAGGCTCTCTTTCTCTCATTGACTGTTTTCCCTGTGCTGTAGCTACAAACCAGTACCTCTTGTTCAGGAGATATGGAAAGTGGGAACTGTGAACAAAGGCACATCCTTGGTGGTTCTCCCTTAAAAACACCAGGACCAAGACTGAAAAGGCTCTGGTTACAAAACAAAAGCCCAGATTTTGTCTGAAGCAACTGATAATCCTGTCCCTCGTTGCATCCTACTAGCCATGTCCCTGGTGAAAACTGTGTCCCCAGCTTTCTTCATTCTAATTCTGCTCTCTTTTCTTCTACATTTTCCTAAGCCCTCACATTCGCAACTCTTATGGTATTTCTTCTTCTGTCAAACTTTCCAAACCATGATAGCCCCCCCCCCATGCAGCAGCAACTGTGTCAATATTTGAGATTTGAGAGGTCTTGCTAAGAAGTTTAACTAAAAGCTGTGATTTTTTTTTCAACCCCCCACCCCTTTGAGCTGAAATAATACTGGGTGTGCAGCTCCTGCAAGCTCCACCAAGAGCCACCTGTTCATACGGTCAACTTACTGTTTGATTCCTCATTAGAACTGTGGCAGATAGCAAGCTACTTAAGGGGCCCATTCCTACCAGAGATGGATACCTGGCTTTGTTAACACCAAAATGATTGTTTTTCCTCAGCTATTCCTTTTTCTTTCTGGATGAGCACATAGATTGGTTCTCTGCAATCACTTGGCACAGAACAGGGGAGCTCTTTTAGTCAGGAGAGATGAAGGGATGCTGTTTGAATGTTCTCACTACAATATACACTTGCAGTACTGGGGAAATGAAATACCCAGGTCCCAACACCCATAAAAGCATTCTCCTCCTGAAATTTCAGTAGATCCCAGCCACAATATTCTGTGCCCTCAATTACCAAATCATCTCTTAGGAAAACCGATCATCAGGACAGTGACCAGCAATCCCCTCATATAGGGAACTAAAAAAGCATGAAAATAGAAATTAAAAAATTTTCTTAAATAAAGTTAAATGTGGCTCCAAAAGCTTTCTTCACATTAAGTGCATGAATTACCATAACATGCCATCATTCTGAATGATGATAAGCAGAAGGAGAAGTTTTAAAGAGAAAATGACAAGTTTTCACAAAAATGTAAAGCCATATGTCTGCATGAAGAAAACTCATTAAGTTTTCTCATTAGTGAGTATCACAAACACACAGCTGAAGGGAAGATACCTGTTGGGGGAGGCATTTCTGCTTTTAAATCAACAGGTTGATGATACATCTACTAATCTATGGATTCTCCAAGCAAAGTTGGGACTAACTTGCAAGGGTGTGAGGTGTGCATGCTTAGGATGAGCTAAGAGGGTGAATGCCATATCATTGTAAAAGCAAGAGAGCAGCTGATAGCTCCTGTCAGCAGCATTGAATGTGGCAAACACTGGGACAGGGAACACAGAGGCCAAGAGGAAGAAATTGAATACCTTTGCTGCTAGATAGAGATACCCCCCAAAAATACACTTATCCTCTATGAGCAAAGATCCAAAGATTCTTATTTTAGTGTTCCAGATCCATCTGGACTCCTAAGCCAAAGCTTAGTCAGCTGAACAGACTTTTTAAGAAAAAATACACCTTTAAGTCACACTGCAACATGCTCAAGGACTGCAAAACCAGTGTTACAATTACTAGCAGTAAACATAAAAGATGTATCAGGCAAACCCAAACCAAAACATTGCCTGGATGGACAAGTAAGAATAATTAAAAACAGGACTTCATGCATACATAGAACTATCTTACTACCTTTCCCCTCAACTTTTATAGCCAACCACTTTTCTGGTCCAGTACATAAACTTTTGCCTGACTACCAGAGGCTGCTTGGGAGACTGCAGGATGGAAAAGGTTATTGCCAACACCACAGCTACCATTTCTTCACTTTTGTGACTCATCCCATCTTTTTCATAGCATCTGCAGTGCTGCACACTAGCATGCACAGTAATAGTTATTATGAATTTATTCCTCAAGCAAAAATCAAAGGTTTCAGCAGAGCCCACAACTGCCAGTACAGTATCAGAGAACAACTCTAATCAGTTGTTTATCAGGCCTGATTTTCTTCAAAATTTATTATTTTAGAGGATTTTGGATTTTGTCCAATTATGTGAAAAAGTTAAATCAATGCAATTAAAAAAAGGAATGAAGCACCATCTTACAGAGACTGAAAAGACAAAGGCAGTCACAGATATACAGCCATTTCTTAAATTAAATTTAGCAGCTTTGAAAGATCCTCAATACACAGCCCTGCAGAAGGAAGGCCTTCATCTATAAAAGATGCCTAGCATACATATTAGAAGTGCATTCTGAGCTGTATGAATAAGTCATAAATAATGTAAGTCATTGAATGCCTCCCCACCTCCTGCCAGAATGGAGCAGGAACAGCTCATGATTTTCAGATAAAGTTTGTTATTCAGAAATTATCTATGAAATCATCTCCATGAATTGCTATTTGCTTATACCTTCTGCCTGAATAGATAGTTGCTCTTATTAGCTGTTGAAAATTCCAGCTGTTTTGATTGGCATGCAGCTCACATAGGATATCTCTCCTCTTCTCCCTGAGCATGGGCACTCACTGGGAACTCACAAAACCACCTGTTTTAATCTGAGCCCTGATTCAATTTTTTGTTTTTTGTGAGCCTGCTAGAATATTTTCTTGCAAGCAGCAAGCATTCACAGCACTGGTACAAGCTGTGCAGCCACGTGGACAGGGCTCTAAAGATCTGGGCAATAGGTCTGAATCAGGTGATTGCCTCACTCCTCAAGTGCCACCTAAATCGGAGCTGATGTCTTTAAGAGCCACTAGAAGCAGGTGACAGTGTCCTGTAGAGGACCCAGATGTTATTAAACTCATGCAATAGTTACAAAACTGGAAGCATTGTGGAACTTCTGTGCCGTATTTATCCCAGATCTTCTATACAGGTCCTCTGTCCACCTCTGAAACGCTCCTGCCCTTGCATGAATAGCAGACACAGATCTAAGACTGACATCAAAGCTGCACAGAGAGTTGGACAGCCCAGAGGATGCTCCACATGATTGTTTCCAACACAGCCATGCAACAGATATTAGTATGCTCTTTGTGCAAGTGTGTCTTTTTCTCATGGTTTGAATTGTTTTAATTTACACCATTTTTAGTCAGATACTTTGCTCATTTACACTAAAAGCATTTGTCAAACATATGGTCTTGAATTTCTTCAAGGTTTACCTCCAGATGTGATGTCTTCAGTCTGCTGTCAGTAATGCAGTAATCTCCAAATGAAGCCTTTGAAATTGGCTCTCCTTCAGGATCCTAGTTTAGAAGAGCCCTTGATTTCTGTTTTAGAAACTTGAGAGACAAGGTAGACATTTGGTGGTTGGATTTGGGAAATTTTTTTCCCCTTTTTCCTTGTATTTTTCCTTCCCCTTATGACAGACTTTGTTAGACTTTTAGAACACAAAGAGAACTACTGAGCTGAAATGTGGTGTTTAGGACAACTTCTGCTCAAATCAGTCACTCTTGCAACAGGAATCCCACAAGGCTACCCCTAGAATAAGCAGAAAACTGAGGAAAGAGTTCTATCATAAAAACATCGTTTTGTTAAAAGCCAAAACATTTCAAAGGAATGTATTTTATATGGGTAAAGTGGAAATATGACAGCATTAAAATACTTTGGGTTTACTTTTATGTGAAAAATGCATTGTAAATTTCACTGTTTTTTAACAATTTGAGGTATGAACAAAAAAAATTAACAGAACATAAAAGTAAAAAAAAAAATAAAATCATTACTTCATTTCAGCTCCAAAAGAAATGCTTTTATGATCTCAGATAAGTTTGGAAGAATGATTTTTTTATATAGTTCAAAACCCAAGTTGCTGTCCAACAAAAAAAAAAAACAAACTGAAAAAGCTAAAAATTCCTGACTGATCTTGGGTTCAACAATCAATCTAGATGACAAGCCTACTAAAACCATCACTACACGGCTATTTTTTTGCTATCCCCCTGCCCACAAAGATCCAAGAAAAATGCACTGCAAAATGTTAGACAAACCCAGAGAGAAGCCTGGAGTCCAATATTTAGTTGTAGACAACATAAACTTTGCATCCTGGTTGCAAACAGGCTTTACCACAAAGCCTGAACATCAGGCTCATCCCCATTAAAGTGTCATAGAATTTTTGGGATGAATGTGAAGCAGCTAAACCATCCAAGACCAAATTTTAAAGGTCAAATGCCTGTTGTTGAAATATTATGCTTGTCAGCAGTCTTGGCTGATGCAAGAGATTGCACTAGCACAGAATTTTGACTACTACTCATCAGTGTAGTACTCATTCTTCAGAACAAATCCCTGAAGAACAGTGCTAAGGTACATGAATAGGACAATGTGGAGTAAATATTTTTAAAATATGAAGTTGTACTTCTGCCAAAGCAATTCACAGGCACTCAAGCAAAACAGTCACATTACTCTTAGGATGTGAAGGATTTCTCCACACTGCCAGGGAACATGCTGAGGATTATTCTCAATGAGCAACACCTAATGGAAAAAGCAATGGTCAAAAATACCATCTTTGATGCAAATGACATTTGAATCATAGTGAAAAGCAGTATACATAATAATAGCATGTTGCCAGAAGCTTCCAGCTGCAGGTATCCAAATGCAGGTATTTCAAAGGGTAGTTATTTCAAGCAGTAGTTATTTCAAGCAACTCGGCACCTGCTTTCACAAAAAATTCCACAATAAGAGACGTTAAGTGATTTACTCAAGAATATCCAAGATGAGGCAAGAATGGTGAAACAGCAGCATCCACACAAAGCAAGACCTCACTGGAGTGAGAGATGCCAATATGCCGTTTTTTCTTAAAGCCTGGCTACATCTTTAAAATATTTGGAAGTGTAAATACTGCCTTTGCATTTTACGACACAATAAAAAGTGGTTTAATACAGCAATAAAAACTCCAATATGCCTTGATAAAGTTATCTTAAACATAGGTCTAAAGCCCATAGCTCCTAAGTTGTAGACAGATTTAATTTCAGAAAGGCCTTGACACAATACCGCTTTAAATGAGAGTAAAATATTCTGCATATCCAGACTTACTAAATAAATCTTGAGGTTTTTATGGCACTAATTAATGAGTATGAGCACATTGGGACTGGTGAGTAATTTTCACTAAGGCTATATATTCTAGATGCAGAAGCAGAAAGTGGCAGATGCCTAAGTATTGAAAATGGGGTTTAGGACCCTCTGAAATAAAATAGCTGCAAATGAGGAATTCTTGCAGTTCAGGAGAGAATATTTACTACAGTGACCTAGGGCACAAGTGAGATCAAAGGATTAGAAGCAGCATGAACTGCATTCTGCCCTTCAAAGCATCACACAACCAAAACAATGAATAATTAGAGTTAATCGTGCTTGTTTGCCGCAATCAATGTTTCATCACATGTAACACTCAGAGAGGCACGTGAACAGCTTCACGCTCACCGTGAGGAATGGGATTTAACCTGTGTTATTTCCCAGCCATTGGGGTGGGAGACCCAATAGCCAGGGATCCATGCCCTTGCCAACCCAAGAGCATAGCACTAATTACACCCCTCCCCCCTGGGCACTAATTACCCCCCTGGGCACTAATTACCCCCCTCCCCTCTGGGCAGGGAGGGGGCCCAGCTGCTCCCCACAGGCATCAGGGACACCCCAAGGTCAGGAGCTGTCAGTACATGTGCTGTACTGGCAGCCAGTCATGGCCAGACAGCCCCACCTTGGCCAAGCAGGACAGGCCAGCATCTCTGGCATGTCTGTCCCCACAGAGTCCAGCATGGGTGTGACAATAAAACTTGGAAAAAAAGATGGAAATCATTTCTCCTCAGGCTGCCCAATCTAGTGCTCAGAAGCTGAATTAGCAATTTTTAATTTTATTTTTAACACACAATTGAGCCAAACTTTTGCATTTCAGTTGAAATGAGAAAGGCACTGCTCTCACACACAGCACAGTTAACAGGTGTAATGGGACAGTGGTCTCTGGCTCGGTGGCCAATCTCTTTATCAATCACTTTATCTGGCACTAACAGCTCCAGAGCTACCTCCTGTGCACAACCTTCCCACAGAGATCCCTTCACTGCCTTGGAGCAGCTCCTACTGCTGCAGGTCACAGGGCAGGGAAAAGGCAGCTTTTTCTGAACAATCACAATCAATTCCAGACCTGTTAAACCTACAGGGTAATGAGCCACAGAGGATGTTTAAATATACAGAGTGTGCAGACTAGAACAGCATAGGTTTGTCTTTTGAAAAACAGTTCAATTTGACTTTGAAAGAAAATAAAATATCACAGTGAACAGAAGCTAAAGCAAAGAAAAAACAAGTTCTACAGCATACATAATTTGCATAAGAATTTTATTTATCTATGATTTTTTTTCCTTTTAATGTGGAAAAGTATATTAAAAGGGGCTTATCTCATCTTAATCAGAATTATTTTGGTGTTTCTGCCAGAACATTATTGTACCAATTGTTCCTGCCCTCACCTGGAATCAAATACTTTTCCCTTACCAAGATTAGTCAGCATGCTTCCAGGGAATCAAAGTGGTATTACAGCAAGATAAAAATTAAAATACACAGCATTCTCAAATCACACGCAAAATAATTGGCAGAAACAAGACCCAGTCTTCTGATTTAGACACTGCAGAGCCCTCTTCTTGTTAATTAAAAAAGGTTAGGTGAATGATTTAGATGAGCAATTTCAGAAGAATTATGAACCTTCCCAAGCCTTTGTTCAAAATAAGAGCTGAAAATTCTGGAGACTCATAAAAAGCTAACTTTAGTCACACCTAGCCTTGTTGCATGCATACATACACAAGTGCACACCCTGAGCTCTCCATTTTCTCCTACCCTTCCCACATTTAACAAGCAGTAAAAGTGTCAGAATAATCTTGAAGAATAATGCCTGTGTCAATAGAAAATTTTCCACCCCACACTGCCTTCAGACATACCATGTTCTTTTTTCAGGGAAGGAATTCGGAAACCAGCTTGATTGTTTAAAAAAAAAAAAATAGCTATAGGAGTGATGAAAATAATAAGGAATAAAACTTTGTTTTGTTAACAAAAAAGCATTTTGATGAATGCCATTTTGTGCTTGACTTTTTAAAATGTCATTCAGCATGCACAAAGACTTAGGAGAAGCTTTTTATAAAAAAAAAAAAACCCAAGTGCTTTTTGGCACTCTACAAAAGCACCTCCAACCACATGATTTTTTAACACTTAAATGTGAGAGAACATCTATTTTGAAAACGCTGCTCAGAATTTCATTTATTTGCTTTGCCTCAGCATAATCAGCGGCCCAAAGGAGCACGAGAGGAGCTGAACTCCTCACCATGACTGGTGGGGAAGCTCTATCCAACAACTGCATTTAAGCAGCCCTAGGGTGATGCTGAGCACCATGCCAGCATCTGCTGGAGAAGGCTCACAGCTGATACCACAGATGTGTGCAGGGAGTGTGGTTCTGCCATCCAGACCCCCATAAATATGCCTAATATACTTTAAGAACTTATATACCCATGGCACGCTCAGGAGAGTTAAAGCAAATCAGCTGAAGACACAGAGTTAAAGGCAGGAACTTAGAGTATTATTAGATGAAAGTTAATTTTAAGAGGGAGTACCAAGAGGATACTTTAAACATGTTTTAAGGCAATATAACCTGATTTCAGAAGTCAATTGATTTACCTTCTCTTTTCAGAATACACATGTGAATAAGAGGAAGACAAAAGAAAAAAGAAAGCAGAAAAGGTAGTAAATGTCAGCCTTCAGAAAGCACCAGAATCATCCAAATAAGTGTAATGACTCACATTTAAATTCCTTTTGAAAACCACACTACAATAAAGGCATTGAAAATCTTCCTTGCAATTAAAGGGTCACTGGGACAGGAGGTTTCATCTCAAGGCAGCATAGCTGCATTCCCAACACCAGAACTGAAAAATTTGCACTTGGGAGGCAGTTGAACAACAGAAACCCTTAGGCCATTCATGAATGCACCTCAGTTGTTATCATCCTGGGTCTGTGTTTCTCTTTTCTCAAAATCAGAATTATAAAAATATGATCCTGCTGCAATCCACCACCAATAACTGCTGTAGTTCTCACCTCAGCACAACATCAGCCAATGCCTGAGACAGCAGGAGCATGAATTAGTGATCCACCATCTCTCACAAGGAAAAATGCCATTTAGTTTTAAAACAAAAACAAAAAACACAGCACACAAACAAATGATAAATCCTGAACTCTGTTCCCAGCTGTTTCATTTTACTCTTTCATCTCTTGATGCTTAGCTTCTTCACCCTACACATGCAGAAAATAAAGTCTCAAGAAATTCTTGCAGTGCAGAAATCTGGGTCATTTAACATTTTGGGGTTTTGCAGCATTACTTAACTGCTTCTGAGCCAAAAGTTAATCCTTATGAAGGCTTTTGAAAGCTTCAAGATTCTACACATCATGGCAGAAGCATCCTGCACATACCAGTAGTTAAACTCCAAGTTTTCCTTCTCTGGAGATTTTATAGATTTAAAATTAAATTATCTAAGTTTTGTTCAAAGTATTCTTAAATTAGTTTCAAGGCACAATCCATTAGAACAAAAAGTTTCAGCCTACATAGTACAAAGGCTGGCTTCTGCACAAGAATGTACGTGATTCAATTTTGGTTGACTAACTTGACATTCAAACACCACATTGTGCAGAACAGGACAGCGAGTATTCAATAAGACACTGACACTCTACATAAATTTAAGATTATCCATCACTTGCAGTTCCTTACTGAACTAGTCTCCCATATGTGATTTTTTTTAAGGCCATAAATATTTCAGAGAGATAAAAAAAGACTTTAAAGAACCTTCTCATCCCCCAATCAAAGCATGAGGTAAAGAACGTGGAATAGGTGCAGAAATAATCCTGGCCTGATATTTTGGCCACAGGTCATTCTCCCTTTTAAAAAAAAAAATATTTAATAAACTTTGAATAGTTTTGTATTTTATATTTATCTGCATAAAAGCATTAGGACTAACATGTTTATTATTGCACAGGTGAAAAATACAACTAACTGGTGAATCAATTTAAATTGCATTTGAACTATTGCTTTTATAACCCAAGGCTTACATTTTTCCATCTCCCTCCCAAAAGGCTGTGCATTTTTTACTTGCTCATCTGCAGGAATTTACAGGTGTTAAATTAGCCACGGTAAGCCTTACCTTTTGTTCCCTGATTGCTATCAAAACATATTGAGAATTACAATAGAAACATATTGAGAATTACAGAGAAAAAGTTAATTAAAAGTTTGAATAGAAGCTCCAGAAAGTTCAAACAAAAGATTTTTCCCAAGTTCATACCAAGATCTGGCTGCATGCATAATTACACATAAATCAGACTGTAACTTTCTATGCTTTTCTTCAATAAAAAAAATAAACCTTTCCCCTCCAATTTAGCTAAATGTTTATAAATATCCAAGACTCCCATTGCAGTCAATACCTTGGGGATGTGATGTTAAAGTGATAAGACAGGCACAAAAAGACCAAAAAGTTCCAGTGATTTGTATTGTTAGGGCAGCTTGCCAGGTCCCCCATCTAAATCTATCCTATAAATAGAGGTATTCTAATGTAAAAAAGTTTCCCAAGTATCCACTCTGGTTTAAAGACAAGTTCTTTCAATGTCAGCTTTCCACAAATATAAATGATTGAGTTTAGCTCATAAATGTCATCTGAAAGTAAATTTTAAGATTGCTGCTTCCAATACTCATACCAAAATAGCAAGTTTTATGTTAAAGGCCACTGTCTGCCTTACAGAAGAACCTCTGTGTTCCACATTTCTCACTAAAGCTTTGGCACACAAGTACTTAAATTAACTAGGCAAGGATTGAATTGCACTCTTTGTGGAAGGCATGGTGCACGCAGATTTATAGGGGGTTTTTGGTTTGTTTTTTATTTTTAAATTTACTTCATTTGACAATAAGCAAAGCTATCTGTATGTCTCAAAACCTATCCTAGCACAGCTTTCTTCTCAAACAAGCTGTTAGTGACCAGGGTAGAAATGCTGTTAAAGGGAATTCAAGCAGCCAAGACAAGAAAGCCAAGGCAAAGACATTAGGACACGTGCCAGCATAATAAACAAGGGTCTTCTGTGTCAGTAGATCTGGGAACCTGATAGCTCACCATCCCACTCACTCCCACACACTCCTTAGCCTAAACCATCACAGGATATGGGTCAGAAGCATTTCTTTATAACACATTTTCGGCCTTGAAAAAAGCCTAAGTTGCAACTGCCATCAGTTTTCTACCACAGTTTCCTTGAAGCAGATTTGATTAAGCATCATGGATGCTCATAATTCCAGTTTTTGTGAGTAGTTTGAGTAGTTCAGACAATGCTTTGTGTGCTGGTTGTAGATTTAATGCAGGCTCTGGCACAGCACCTCCTCCAGTGTGAAGCTGACATGACAGAAAAAGAATCAGTTGTATAGTAATGCTTTGGCCATAATGGTGTTGACAGCTAAGACTGGTGAAGAGCAGTAATAGCTTTATTTAGTCATGCCCCAAAATGGACCAAAACCAAAAAATATCCCCCCCAAAATAAGTGTTCTTTTCAATAATTTAGATAGTTAAGATATTTAGATATTTAAAATTTCAAGAGTCAAAATAGGCCATATGGCCTTTCTAAAACATACTGCATGTTTCATTAGGTTTTCTTCCTTAGAAAAATCATGCATAGAAGCCCTGATCATCACACTATACTGACCTAGGAAAAGTGAAAAATATTATTTAATAGATGTCACCACCCATTAGGTTCTGCCTTTTTCCTCCAAATTTGCATTTCTGTCTTTCCAGCTTTGCTAAACTCTTATTTCAAGCATACAAATTACTTTTACCTGATGAAAGCATGCCACACTAAAGTATAAGCCCCAGCAACACATTTCCACAGCAACAAATACTCCACTCCTGCAGCAACCATCAAAATCCATCCACCCAACACACACACTTTCTAAAATGTGCTATGCTTCATTTCCTTGCCCTCTGGGAGAGACTAGGCAGCCACTATGTACTCTGCTAAATCATGGACATGCCTAGGAAAGACAAGAGCACAACATCTCACAAAAGCTCTGCCTCTGCTCTCTATCTTCATGAAAGACCTACAAATATAAAATCTTGGAAAAAAATCAAGGAAAGATTACTAACTCTAGTAGATGCTATGTACTCAATACAAAAATAAATAAGGATTTAGAGCAATCATTTTGGAGCCCGTTAGAATTTATCCTATTTCCACCCCAAAGGAAATTCTCCACTTAAGGACACAGGTGAGCATGTCTTTTAAGAATATGAGACCACAAACTTTTCAAGCAACATGTGGAACAGAAAAGTATATTAAAAAAAAAATTCCCTGCACTTGTTTTTTGTTCTATAGTCTGCAGATGATATAAAGGCTTTCTCCTGATAAGGAAAAAAGCAATTCAAAAGCTGAATGTCAAGGAAACTGCACAGCTCCACTCCACAGAATAAAAAAATAAAAAAAGAAAAAAAAAGAAAAGAAAAAAAAAAAGAAAAGAAAAAAAAAGGATACCGATCTGTATTAAAGTCTTCGACAAAAAAGAAAATTAAAGAGAATTTCATTCTGCTTCTGACCATTTCATGAGAAAAAAATATAATATCCCTTCATTAAGTTCTTAATTTCTAATTATATGCACAGTTATAACAAGATATAGAAATACCCAGCAGCTGGGTATGGTTTTCCTCTCCCTCCTCCTCAACTGTAAGGCTAATCCTCTAACTCTTTGTTCTGGAAGTTGAGAATGTGATGCAGTGTACAAGTTGTGTTCACTTTTCACCTTTACTTTCCTTATGGGATTCCTGTCTGCTACCTCCCAGACAAAAATACTCATTTACTGCTCTGTTCCCTGGAGCACAGGAGCAGAAACCTCAGCAGACTGGGAAAGGTGGAGCAATACCTGCACCACAGGTTCAATCAGCTCTGGCAGCTCCACAGACCAGCTGAGGTGACAGACACCATCCAGACTAAGATATCTTTCCAAGACAAGCCCACAAAGTATTTGCAGTCATATATGGGTGTGCACCCACTGCAGTATTAGTTCTATTATTAAGCCATGTAGGAAGTTTGCTTAATTTATGAATACTTGCCTTTAGTATCCTTTTAGTTGCTCTTAAGTCTTATTCTGAAGGGCTTTTAGTATCTGGCAGTTGAAGCAACACTCAATGAATAACACTTGGGCACACAGACACACAAATTATTTCAAATACATTTGAGAAGCATCAGTAGACGTTATATTTGCAAATGTGCATGGGAACATTTAGGTAAATGCAGCATACTACTTCAAAAAGTACAGACCTATCAGTAAAACCATTAAGCTCAGCACTTTTACTTTCCTTTAGCTGCATTAGAAATGACTGCTTGAGGTTGGCCGAAGCTCCTGCTAATGGATTTTGAATGCAGTGTGCTTTCTCCGCCTCCTGTTTTAGAAGCCTCTCATCCTATTTCCATGTACATCTTGTGCCTCCAATTGACTGGGAGTTGCTCTCCTGTGTACCAATTAACTCATAATCAGGTGGAGAGTTATCTTAACCTTGGCACAGCTCCCCTGACAAGCTGGATCTGAAGCATTACAGCTCAAGCACCACTTTCAAAATACAGTCACACACGTGGCAGAGAACAGGACACAGCAACCCCACGTGCCTCACCTGGTGCTGGGGCTTTTGTAGCAGCCCTTCAGAGCACATGGGCTCCAAGAACAGCAGGTGCTTATCCACAGCTGCTCCAGCTCTTTACTTCTGTGCCTCAAAAAGGTGGTCCATGAGGTCAGCAGAAAGATTTTTTTCTGAAAGCAAATACA